ATCTATCACAACACATAATATTATTTTATGCGAGGAGTGTCCTGCTGATGTCAAGAAGAGCCTCTGTCACCACTGTAACCACTGTCCAGTCTCAGCAATGGGTAAAAGTGAATGAAGTGACCCAAGTCTGGAAGGCCCTTATCTCACTGCTGGTAAGGGAAGGCCCCACCTATAGTAGGTGGCCACCCTGGTCCTGCTCATTCCTGGCGCAGGCCTCTTGAGTCGTTCAGTCTCTGCACTACCAGCTAAAAATGACTGTAAGCTAGAAATGTAGAAGGGAGTGGTTTAGATTTTAAAGAGCTTGTTCATCTAATTAAATAGAACTGGAGTTAGTGGCTTAGTGGTTGTTCTATAATCAGGCCCTGCTACAAGTGGTTAAGGAGACTGACAGTGGGAACCAAAAGAGCCTGCAGGGACAGGAGTGTGGCTGTGAACATGGCTGGGAAGAGTCTCTGCCAGGACTTTTGAATCCAAAGCTGAGAATGTGGCTTCCATGGAGTTATGAGAGAGAGGGAGGGATTTTGAGCTGTGGCCCACTGAGATGAAAAATTGGGTTGTATCATCTTGTCTTGGAGTTGCAGTGATAGTGTATGGCGAGGGGTAATAAAAGGAGCAAAGGATCTGGACCCAACCTGGTTTTGAATCTGGGATTTCTCACTTTTTAGCTAGGTAATTAGAAAAGTGACTGAGAAGCTCTCTGCATCTCAGATAATTCATCTGTGCAAAACGATTTGCATAGCTGTAGTCAAAGTTAGCTTGTGTGTGGAGCCCCTAGCACAGAGGAGACATTTAATAAATGATCACTCCTGCTGTCTTTATTATCATTATTATTATTATTTTTTTTTTCTTGAGACAGAGTCTCACTCTGTTGCTCAGGGTGGAGTGCAGTGGCGCGATCTTGGCTCACTGCAACCTCCCCCTCCTGGGTTTGAGTGATTCTCCTGCCTCAGCCTCTCAAGTAGCTGGGACTACAGGCATGTGCCACCATGCTTGGCTAATTTTTGTATTTTTTTAGTAGAGATGGGGTTTCACCATGTTGGCCAGGCTGGTCTTGAACTCCTGACTTCAGGTGATTCACCCACCTCAGCCTCCCAAAGTGCTGGGATTACAGGTCTTTATTATTTTTATGATCATCATTGTCCATGTTACGTTTATGTAGTTGTTATGGATCACAAAACACTTTCAGATGTTCTCTCTGATTGCAGTTCAGCTTACTCCCGTACACTTGAGTCATGACATGGGTGTATCTGCGACCCTCATTAGACCGGGAGCTCCTTAAATGGAGGGGTCCCCACTCATGGATGTCTAGTGCAGGCATAAACTAGAGGATCCATGTGAGGAAGCACTTCCCCTACCAGAGCTCTTCAGAAAGAGAGCAGGTGGCTTCAAGAAGATGTCAGCTTCCCCCCCTTGAGGATATAGCAGGGGCCACCTGGCAGGGACACTGTGGGGAAGTGGCTGCACTGGTTGGAAGGCTGGCTTCAAAGAAATGGTTTCTCAATCCCACTTTATAATCTATTAGTGTTTTAATTGGATGAAGCAGTTCTGATGTCCTGTCAAGTTCATTCAAAGGAGTGTTTGTACTCATCTAAGTTTGTGGACCCTGGGCAAAGTGAGCCAGACATGGCTGTCCCGGGGATCCTTCCTCTCTCTGCTCTAACTGCTCTTTAAACACAGACTCAGCCCTGGCAGATGAAAGTTTTAAATTTAAAAATATTTTAAAAGAATGCTTTTATATGAAAGACAGTATCTTTTAAAATATCAAATTTGTCTTAAACATTTTGGCAGCATATGCCATGTAACTTTTGGATTTATGTTTTCTCTTTCATAGAATAAAAAGTTCAGTGCAACCACCTCAAGAGTTCTGCAAGTTCACATTATGTAAACATATATAATAAAATATTTACTTAGGGTTTCCATAAAAAAGATCCAAAGCAGAGAATAAGAGGGCTTCTCTTTGCTGGTTTCAGAGGCTCTGCTGGGAATTCTGAGTGAAATTTAAGCCTCTTGAATATGTTTTGATTGGCCTTCTTCGTATTTTATCTCCTGTAATGAACTCTTTGTCAGTTTGTCAATTTTGACTAAGGACAGAAAGTTCATGTGTAGTAACACAGAGACTGAATTTAAAATTATGGTTTCTATCATGATGTAATAATCCTCTCTCTCGTCCTTTAGTCAATATTTACCTGGTAGGCCGATATATTATAATGCTGACTTCAAAAGAAGACTCTTTATTTTACCTTCTCTAAGTGTTGGTTTTAGATACTTGAAATATCAAAACTGGAAGTTGAGCCGTCTGAGACTCTTGGCTGAATTCATGTAAAGTTCAGTTCCTCGATCGCAGGGCAGGTTTCACTGCTCCCAGTGACCCAGCGACACAGCTGCGTGCCTGTCAGAATGAGGCAGCTAAGCTTGGAGTCATGCTGGTTCCTCTCAGCTTTCCAGACAGCCCTCTCCTCTGTGGGAAACAGATCTGTTATGTTACCCCATAGCAGCCAGGATCTCTTAAGTGTACTTAAGTATTCCTTTATGTATTACAGCTACAGGATTGGGCGGAAAAACCTGAAGAATGCCCTGTAGGAAGGTGGTCTCTGAGTGTCACACCAGATGAAGAATAAGGAATCTTAAATTCTTTTCTTTGCTTGAACCCCTTTTTTCAAGCACCCCATGTGTAAGCATTTTTCCATTTTAAAAACTGAGGGAAGAATTATCCCCCGGTGAAGGAGTAGGAGGATGATAAGTAGCTACACAGTTTGCAGATAAAATGTGTGATACCTTAGTACTGATCGTTCAGGTCACCAAAGAAGCAAATGGTACTGTGTTAATAAGTTCTTCTGAGCCAACCTGGGTGTGAGTCAGGACTCTGTCAGTGAGTCATAATGGAAAGGGAATTGATTCACTCATTAACTGCCAAGTCCGCAGGTAGACTAGTTTCAGGCTCAGCTGGATCCTGAAGTTCAAATGAGGTCATGATTCTTCTTTTCTTTCTTAGACTATTATTTTCTATATTGGCGTGATTATGTAGCATAGATGTTTCCTGGCAGCTCCAGGTTTATGTGGTCCTTAATGCCTGGGATCCCAGGAGAGAGACCCTCTTGCCTGGAGTTCATATCATTTATCAAGTGTATTGTTCAACTTAAGCAAATTCAACACTATGCTTGTATCTTCCATGTGTTTATCTCTGCCCATTGTGTATCTTTAAACCGTATATTTATTTTATTTTATTATTTTATTTTTTCAAGACAGAGCCTTGCTCTGTTGCCCAGGTTGGAGTGCAGTGGCACGATCTCAGCTCATTGCAACCTCAGCCTCTGAAGTTCAAGCAATTCTGCCTCAGCCCCCTGAGTAGCTGGGACTACAGGTGTGTGCCACCACACCTGGCTAATTTTTGTATTTTTAGTAGAGGCAGGGTTTTGCCATGTTGGCCAGGCTGGTCTCAAATTTCCTGGCCTTAAGTGATCCGCCAGCCTTGACCTCCCAAAGTGCTGGGATTACAGGCATGAGCCACCGTGCCCAGCCTATATACTTATTTTACATGTATACTCTTTTTAGTAATCTGTTCATTTTGTACATTTTCATACACACATACATGTATATGTAAGTATATACATATGTATATACTCTTGTATGTATATGTATATTTTTATTTTCACATATACATTTGATAGATGATTTACAGTATGTTCAAGAATAAATCTTAAGTTTATAATCTAACGACTCTCCCTCATTTAAGGTACAGTTCTAACAGCCTTGGTCATCTGACCAACTCTCTGGTAAACCTGGTAGGGAGGGCAGGGCCTGTTAAAAGACAGCTCCATCAGGAAGGGAAGGAGCAGTTCTAAAAGGAAAAAGAAAGTGGGTCCTTTACCAGAGGGAAAAGATAAACCGACTATTGATTCATTTATTCAGCAAGTACTTCCTGAGAACCTATTATGTGCCAGGCACTCTTCCAGGCCCTGGGCGTACAACAGTAAACATTACACAAAAGGCCTTACTTACCGGGAGCTTACGTAGTAGGGAGAGAGATAACAAACACACAAGCCGATAGAGATATGCTGTGATATCTGTTAGTGCTGAGAGCTCTGAAGAAAGACCGCGGTAAGCAGCAACAGGTGTGGAGTAGTTGCTTTACAGTGCAGGTGGAGGAAATGGGGTTGGGGGGTGGTGGGGAGTTGGAAGAGGCAGACAGGTGGAGGAAACAGGGGGAGGAGGGTAGAGGAATCTCTTCTTGTTTTGGGATTCTCTTTCAGTTGACCCAAATAAAGTAAGGAGGATTTTGATAGGCAGATCCTATTAAGACTATCCCAAGCATAGGGAAAAGTATGAGTCAAGCCAACGTCTAAATGTCTTGAGGGAAGATCTGTTCAGGGAGTGGAAAGAAGTTTCCCATGACAGCTGCATACAGAGCATATGAAGGATGGGGCTGAGGTTGCTTGGGGTGTGACCCTGCAAGGACATAAATAACAGGCTAAGAGTACCTTTCCCAGACCCACATTTAGAAAGATCACAGCAAAGTGTGGAGAGCCAGGTGAGGGGTCACAGAGGCAAGATAGGGCAGCCAGGTGTGCACTGAATAGGGCAATGGCCAGAGGGAATGGGAAGGAAGGGCAGAGCTTTCAGAGGTTGCATCTGCAAGATTTGGGGATTAATTCACTTCTAGTGACCTAAAAGGATTTGTTCATCACCCAGAATGAGCCATATCTTCTTATGTTTACTCAAAGATAAGAAGCCTTTAGAAATGGGAAACATCTTGGGAAAGTGGTTAATCTTGTTTATTCACAAGACAATTTCATCATCTTTTGCTATACAATGAGGAAGGCAACAGTAGTGTGGGTCACAGAGGGAGGTGGCCAAGGAAGGAAGAAAGCAAGACTGGATGTGGCACCTACATTGCAGGTCCTGTGGCCTCTGGGAGTGACATACATTCAAGGAAAGGACTTCTGGGAGGGAATGCTGTGGCCTTCCATGCCAGCCTGATAGTCCTTCTCGTGCATTTACAGGCAACTTCGAAGTGGGAGTTCACATTGCCGACGTGAGTTACTTTGTTCCAGAGGGATCCGACCTGGATAAAGTGGCTGCTGAGAGGGCCACAAGTGTCTACTTGGTTCAAAAGGTAAAAATCCATCTCCAGTTTCTTTTTTCTTGCTTTGTTTATTTGTTTGTTTCCCTGGAAAAGTGTGTGCTCGCTGTTATGACATGTTCTCCGGAAAGAGAAGCCAAAGACAGACACAGGTGTTCATCCGAGGCCTCACCCCAGAGTGGCCCTGCTATTTAAGTAACTGACAGATACTCCGCTTCAGAAAGAAAGGAGGCAAAATACCTGCTTTCAAACAATTCTTCTAAAGCAGGGCTTGGCAAACTCAGCCGACACCAGCCACTAGTTTTTGTAAGGTTTTATTGGAACTCAGGCACATGCGTTTGTTCATGTATTGTGGCTGCTTTCATACTACTTCAGCAGAGTGGCATGACGATTTCCTGTTACTATAGGCCCTTTAAGGAAATGTTTTCAACCCCTGTTCTAAAAGGTGGGAGCCAATCTGGTCCTGACCTACCCATTACAAGATAGCCATGGGAGTCTCTGAGATGGAAAAGCGAAGGGAGATGAGGAGGAGTCTGAGCTTTTCCCTCTCATCCTGACTACACCACTCTTGGTTAGTTGCTAAGTGTCTACAGAACTCCCTAGACTCATCTGTGAAATGCAGGGATTGGACAGATGGATCTCAAAACATCCCTTCCATTCTATGTACCTGTACCTGGCACATTCAATGGTAACCATGAGAATCCATTCCTTTAACAAGTATATATTGAGCACCAATTATCTGGTGGACACTGCAGTAGGCCTCAGAGACAGGGGTTAATAAGAGACCAAGCATGAGTAAGTTCTGCCTTCCACACTGTGGTTTGTGAATTCTGCCAGGTTTCTTTCTCTTCTTTCCCTCCTCTGATCCTCTGTTCATTTGATCCTCTTCCTTCTTTGGCCATATCTGGACTTCCACTTCCTTTCTAGCTTTTTAAAATTTGGCAGTCCAATTTGGGATTCTACCTATACTAGCTTGAGGCTTCCTGCCTCGCAAACCCATGCACTAGGACATGATTCTGGTATTTGCTCATTGACTGCCCTAAGGTCAGAGGAATATCCCCACCATCCACCCTAGAATGCACCACCATAGGTGCATTCTGGAATTTCTGGGCTTTACTTCTAGCAAAGTGCCTACTTAATGTCCACAAAGGTATTGGCACTTCTGGAGCAAAAGCTATCCAGGAACACCCAAAAGTTTCTAAGATTTCTGGTATTTACCAAGCGTTACTGAGAGTTCCTCTCATGTTTTCAACTTGTCCACCCTGAAAACTAACCTCTCAAAAGGGAAGAGACTAGTCTAGGCTTTGAATGCAGCCATATCTTCTAGGGGCTGAAGATCCTGTTGCCTGTGGCCCAAGCTTAGTTCCCCCAATGTAGCTGAGCTTATCTTTTGACAGTGATGTCTTCCACCCCATGGTAGAAGTCACCCTGTCTGAGACCCTTTGTTTCTGCTACAAAGGGAGCTAGCCTAGATGGGCTGTCTTGTCCCAAAGGAAAGCCAGAGCTGTCATCTGCCATAGCCACCTTCAATAAGTGGAGGTCCTACCTAGGAAAACCTGGTACCTCCTCTCCCCTGCCCCAGGACAGTACTCTCTGTATCACTGAAACCTAGAATGTTTGAGCAAAACCCTAGCTCCACCTGCTCCAGGAGAATTGGACAGCCAGTTTCTTCAGAAGTACAGCTTTGCCTGCCATTCACATTAGGTGATCAGAACCACCATGTACATGTTTTCTGCCATCCCATAAATGAGAATAGTGAATGGAGAGGAAGACAGAGTTGATCAGAGCCAGGAAATTCTGAGTCAGAAGCTGTGTGATCATCAAAACCCCGTTCCAGAAAACCGTGTCATGGGCAATAGGTAATCTCTATGCACAGTGATGCCTGAAGGACCCAGCACCTTCAGTGACCAATTAGTGAGGATAGCTAGCTGTGTCCTCATCTGAGCAGGGGGAATTCCGTACCAGACTTTGCTTGTGTCAAACATACTGTGTCCCTGCCTGACCTCTGTGGCTGGCCTAAGCCTCAATGCAATGTTTAAGAACTTCTCTTTGACCCCCGGCCCCTCATAATGTCTGTGACAACTGTGTCCAAGCTCTGGGCAGGTATAGGCAGCTTAGGAGAATGCAGCACAAACTTCTGACCCGCAAGTATCTCTTGAGCACACAGGGCTTCCTCCCTGACCCCCAAGCCCCAGCTGCTGCGCTCTGCTTTTATAACCAGGAATTACTTTTCAAAATCAGAAAATGAAAAAATCAAATTGGGTTAAGTAATTAAGCGTGTTTCCTTTTCTGTTTCCTTTGGTTTTGTGTTTGTCACAGTTCTAGAATTTCTCTGTGGGACTACAGAGTTGGGGCTCTGTTGCTGAGCTGTGAAAGCGGGGAGCTGGGTGGAGGAAGGGCCCGCATGCGTCTGCTGCCCAGCACTGCCTCCAGCTTGGCAGGCACAAGTGGCGCCGGCCCGCAACCTTGGACAGCAGCAGCTGCGCGCTCTGATTCCTTTGAACCGCTGCTCTGACCTTTCTTCCTACTCGGTTTTGTTTCTTAAAGGACTGTGTCCAGGAACTTTTCTGCTGTTTTCACTTTACTTTGCCTATAAAGGTCTTCTGAAAAGCTGGATGAGCTGCGTTTCCGCTCTCCAGATTCTCTGCTTTCTCACTTGGCACAATCATTTCTCCCAGCTTCATCACACAGGGAAGAGGGGCTGGGGTTCCAGTTGGTTTCCCATCTATAGGCAATGTGGCACTGATTTCATTCAGATCTGTAAGTGACTGATGCCAGAATTGCAATCTTAGCTCATTATCTAAACTGTAATTGGGGCATTAACCTGTGGAATAGGACAGTATACAGCGTAACAGGTCTTGGGTCCAAATACCATCTCACTGACTTTTTAAATGAAATTCTTTTTGTTGCGATTTTGCTCACAGTAATAAGTATTTGGTTATTCTTGTTAACAATAGGGTATACTCAATAGGATAAAAGATAAATTCAAATAGTGTCCATTTAAATATCAGGAAAAAACTTTTTGACAGAAGATGGTTCCGTTAGGACAGGGGACAGCTGCCCACCTGAACTTTGGCCTGTCCTTCTCAGAAGGACACAACATTTGCTCAGTTAAGGCCTCTCAACTGCCTTCTCTGGGAGATACATATAATGTAATCGCAAAGTTTAAGGTAATTTTAGAAAATAAGCGAATTAAGCTTTAAAAGTAAAAGAAAACCTAAACAGTTGAAACCTAAACCTAAATTTTCTGCCTACTGGCCCAAGCATTCATGTTATTTTAGGTGCGAAACAGCTCAAGTGAAAGTTCGCCCATAAATCTCTACGATATTTTATTGGTACTGCTTTATAATAGAGATCAAAGATTGGGATTGGAAGCCTGTCTTAATGTAGAGTCCAAAGAGTTTTAAGATGTTTCTTTCTGACACCAGCAGGTTGTCAGATTGTTGATGTTTTGTTAATGTCAAACTGTGTAGCAAAGAGTTGATCAAATTCTGAATTCATGGAAGTGTTGATATGGAAAAGAAAACTCTTTAAACAGAGATGTTGGCTGGCAAGTGAATTAATCTATTTCCTTTAAGTTATTTCAGTGTGTAAGTGGGGAGCTAGCTGAGAGTACCTTGTTGTTAAAACCTCGAAGTCCTCAGAGAAAAGGGGTAAAAGTCACCAATTCTTAGACTGCAGATATGGGCTGCGATGGCCAATGGGTTATCGCACTGAGGCCTGAGGGAATGTGGTGGGGAGCCGGCAAAGGCCTGGACTGAAAGGGGCAGAAGAGGCCCTGTAGCCCCTCCAGGTGGTGGAGAAGCCCCTATGACTTGGCTTGTGGGCATCTGGCTCCCACGTCACTGCTAGTCCCTCCTGCTCCTCCTTGCCTGAATGATTGATTCTTCCCTTCTGTGGCCCTTTGTGTTGGTCACAGGGCTGTCCTGGCTAACCTGCTGCTGAACTTGGCCAGCCTGCCCGCTGTGGCTTTAGCAGATGTTTCTGCTCTCTGAGACTAATATAAGATTTTATAGTCTTGTTGGTACCCCCACCCAGCTGCCTTGGGCAGTGGTGTATTTACCCAAATGATCAATTTCTCTCTACTCTCTCAAGACCTGGTCCAGAATACTTAGAAAGTCAGTGTCCTATCATCACTGTCCCTTTTCTCCACGGCCAGCTCTTAAGCTCTGCCCTGACTCAATTTTGGCCCTGGCCCCAAAGCATGCTTAAGAGGGCTTAGCATCCTTCAAGCCCCGTTTCCTTTTCTGCTGCCTGAAGTCCTTATCAGTCTTCATCCACTTGGTATTTGTTGAGTACCAGCTGTGTGTCATGTTCCAGGGATGTAAAGATGAGACAGATTCTGCTCTTGCCCTGGGGAAGCAGAGGAGGTAGACAGGTAGCAAACACTTGCAATGCATCGGGCTACCTTCAGGTACAGAAGTGCCCCAAAGGTGAGGAGAGAAAGGTGAGTTAGAGAAGAAAGAGAGGTTGTATCTGCCTGGGCTGGTGGTGGGAGAGGAGCTTCTGCAAGGGCCAAGAAGACTTCACAAAGCAATTGTGTTTTGAACAGTGTTTCACATTTTGAGTAGAAAATTTCTAGATAAAAAGTGGGCAGAGAGGGCATTCCAGGCAGAGGCTAGAAAAAGCATAGAATGTTCAAGGAGCAGAATGCAGTTTGAAATTGTTGGGGTGTGCATTGTAGAGAGAGCCATGGATGAGGTTTCAAAGAGAGGCCTGGAGTGGTAGGCGAAGGAGCTCGGATTCTGAGGGGAAGTAGGGAAGCGATACGATCTCCTTCGACCAAAATAAAAAATCACCTTAGCAACTGTGTGGTTGAAGGATAGCAAGGCCAGAGACAGGAAAATTGTCATCAGTACCAGGGCCCTTCCCCCCAGTCACATCCTCTTGAGACTCTGAGTAACTACCCCAACACAGAGATCTTTGCTCACAAAATCTTATGAGAGTTTACCGATGTGGTGATGTCCAACTGGACCCCAGGAGAACTAGAACAACAGATGTCTTTAGCCTAGTGCCAAATGGACATTCTGAAC